AAAAGATATAATTAACAAATGCCATAAACAAAATTTAAAAATTTGAAACAATTCATTCTTACCTTAGGAAGCTCAGACACCCTCTCTTCACTTGTCGAAGAATGACTGCTTGCACATGAAGCACAGTCTGATATTTCCACAGCACTCTCACCATCTTCAAATTCATTATATTCACTGTCACTCTCCCAATCAACGAACTGTAGTTTATCTAGAAAATATAATTTTAAACTTTATTTTTAAAATATTTTTTCTATTCTCAGTAGTTAAAAAAGATCCCTGTTGCTCAATATTTTTTAAAAAATATCTTAAGACAGTAAAAAGTATATCCCTACTCTTCTCTCTAGCCATTCTGTTTCTAATACCCCCACCCCAATTTTGGTTTTTTTTGTATTCCTCTAGAGTTTCTCCAGCATAGTAAAGCAAATAAAATATGCTCTTAATTCTTCCTTTCTGATACTTTGGGTTTTTTTTATTTCAACTTAATTGAGAGGTTTTTACACATCAGTAAACATGGAGCATGCTCATTCTTTTCCACAATATAATATTCCATTACATAGCTGACCCATAATTTATTTAATCAGTTTTGTATTAGTAAAGACTTTGTCAAAGATATTCACCCAAAACGTTTTTTATAAATTTTTCTCATCGGTAAGAAAACAAGTAAAGGTAATTTAGTGTTTAGTTTACTTCAAAGCATTATTATCTTGATGCTACTTTTGCAAAATTTTAATTTGAAAGTTAAATTATTTTCATATATTAAAAAAACAAACAAACTGACTCTAATCTACTATGCTTAAAGAGATAAAAGTAGTTATTAAGGATAAATTAATTTGTGAGGTACAGCATACAATATGTACCTTTCCTACAATACAAAACACAAGTACTCCCTCACAGCTACTTAAGCAACTTAGAGGGCTAGTAAGATATCTTGGCCCTATTTCAGAGATCTGATAGCAACAATCTCACTTCCAAATAGAATATTAAAAATAAGTAACTTACTGGCTTTAATACCTGAGGGATCATCAAAATTAAAAACAAAAATTAAGCTAAAGTTAAAAATATGAAATAAAGTAAAAATATAAATAAATCCTCTTTAATCTGACATTATTGTTTACAAAAGATGAGATAAAGTCCACTATAATAATTATAAAAGACTGAAAATCAGACCAGTCTGAGAGAAGCAGATGCATGATGGCAATTATTTCCCATGTCTAAAATGACATTTACTCATGGAAGTTAGGCAATGTGATAAGTAATATAAAATGTTATATCACAACCAAGACTAGACCTTTCATTTAGTCACAATAATTTTATGAAGCAGGCAAGACAATTACTGTTAGACTAACTTTGCATTTATAGGTAAGGAAATTGAGTCTCCAAAAAGTTAAGAAATTTTCCCAAAGATATATAAAGAACAAATTGAAAGGAAAAATTTTTAAGAGAAAAATATTTGGACAATTTTAACTCAGAGCTTTTCCTTCTCAATCTCAATTCTGAGCCTGAAAGCCCAAAGACTCTAATCCAATACAGCTGGAAGAAGGTGTGGGAATATTTTTTTAAAAGCTCACCTACTAATTCTGTTAAGAAGCTAGGTCTAGTAACCACCAGAACAGTGCTGGAAAACACAGCACTGAAGTTAGACATCCCTGGCTCTGAATATCAATTGGCACATTTATTAACTATGTGAATCTAGGCAAGTGACTTGAATTCTCTAAGTAAGAATTTTCTTCTGTAAAATGAAGGTACTTAGCTCACAGGATCTAGTAGATATCAAAGGAAATAACATACATAATATCCAGTCAAGTGTCTGGGGTAAAACAAGAACTTGATAAGTAGTAATTAAAGATAAAAAGGAGAGAGGGAGAAAGGGAAGGGAGAGGAGGGGAGAAGATAAAGATAAACCAGTACACTTCATTTACTTGTACCTAATGGTCAACTTATTTAAGAGAAGTTAAAAATTTGCTAACTCATTTTAAACTAATTAGCTCAAAGCATCTTTCCATTCTTAAATAGTTCTGAAAACTACTTTTAATACAAGAAGGCATATACGGTTTTTTTATACCAGCTTTATTGAAATGTCATTCATATACTACACTATTCACCTATAAAAAGCATATAGTTTTTAATAATGAAATTATGTTCAGATATGTGTAAACAAATCAAGAGCTGCATAACAGTGAAATTCATTTAATATTGTTGAAATAACAAATAAGCCCTATGAGTTTACATATAACTTTAAAATACCACTTTATCTATTACTAAAATGTCAATTGGAAGTTACCAAGATGGCATACCAAGTGGCCAAAAGAATGTATCCTTTTACAAGGGCTATTTGTACAAACTTAGCCTTGACTTATTAACTTAACATGAACTGTCAAAGTAAGATTTAAAAGTCAAGGCTTATTCTGAAAGCATTAGCGCTTTTATATACTCTTAGATGAGCTATATATTTTGTAATTTTTAAAAGAACATAATTTCCATAATTCTAAGTCTGTGGTTCTCAGCTTGGGGTGATTCTGTCCTATAGGGGACATCTGACAACATCTGGAGGCATTTTTGGTTGTCACAACTAGGGCTGGGAATGCTATTGTCACCAGTGGATAGAGACTAGAGATGCTGCTAAATACCCAATGATGTATAGGAAAGCAACCCTCCCCTCAACAGAAAATGATCTGGCTCCAAATTTCAACAGTTCCAAGGCTGAGAAACCCTGTTTTCAACTATCAAAAACACAATACAATATAAAATGCCATCAGAACAGAAACTTGTTAGTAAGTTATATTTCTACCACACATTGGTTGTCATAGTATTTATCCAAAAGGGGTTAGCAAGGAGGCAATGTGAGTGTAGCATTAAGCAGGTAGTTGAGAGAAGTTGCGTTTTCATCAAAGAAATCCAATGTGAAATCCCAACCAATTCTAACATGTTCTAGCTTAAGCTGTTAACTGTAAAAATACTACTGGTAATGCCTATTTCTTAGGGCTGTTGTGAGAAATATTAAATAAGAAAATGTTTCTAAAGGGCTTCACCTAGAGGCTGGACTCAGGTAAGATCATAATTAATGCTAAGTATTAGAAAACTTTTTTTTCCGATATTGAATCCAATATATAATAGAAACTGGATTTCTTACAAAATTAACAGTCACTTCACTGGCGCCAACTTCTGGATATAAAATATTCCTGTTATAAAACAAGATATTCTCTGTGATTCAAAAAGTGTTTTACCTTCATCTGATTGATCACTTCCACTGGAACTCCATGTTATATCCATAAGCCCACTGGTACTCTTAGATGTGGTGGTTTCTGTTAAAGAAATAGAAAATATATAAAAAATGATCAACTGATGTGGTTATTAGAAGGAGATTTTACGCATGTTACTTTGCTATAGTCACAAACACACAAAATTCTGATGATAGTAGAGGTAAGGTCTTATGTCAAATCTTCCTTCCTAAAATTCTATGTGCCACTTGGCTAAGATTCTTTAAAGTAAAGCCAAATTACAAGAAGAAAAAGGAATAGAACTGATTGAAATAAGTTATAAAGACAATGAAAATGACTGGAGCACAAATAAAAACTCAAAAAAATTACCTTGAAATAATTATAGAACTATAAAACTTCCTAGAATATTTGATGAAACCAAAAGAAAAAAACAAAACAAAACACAAAACAAACAACAAAACCAAAATTTATATATAATAGGAATGCTTCCAGGTACCTCCTTTGCCATATTAAGAGCCCTGGTAGCAGCAGTGTGCTTAAAACAGTGAAGTTACTTATTTAACCTTGTTAGTCTGAGATAATATTAGATCCCCATGCAGTTATAAGAAATAATAGAGATCCCTGGTATGTTTCACCCAGTTTCTCCATTGGTAACATTTTACAGAACTATAGTACAACATCACAACCAAAATGTTGATATTAATTCCATCACCAAGAGGATATCTTGTACTACCTTTCTAAAGCCACATCAAACATCCCTCCCCACCCCAATTCCTAACCCCTGGCAACCACTAACCAGTTCTGCACCTATACTTTTGTCATTTCGAGAATGATATACAAATATATATCATACTATATAACCTTTTAAGACTGGCTTTTTTCACTCAGCATAATTTCCTAGACATTCATACAAGTTCTTGTGTGTATATATTGTGCATGTCAACAGTTATTTTTTTATTACTGTTATTCCACATTATGGATGTAGCACAGTTTATTAAATCATTCCCCCACTAAAGGACATCTGTGTTATTTCCAGTTTGGGGTTATTATAATAAAGCTGCTATGAACATTGTACACAGGATTTTATGTAGATGCAGTTTTTAATCTCTGGGATAAATGTCTAAGGTTGCAATTGTTGGCTTTATGATAATTGCATATTTAGTCTTATGAGAAACTGCCAAACTGTTTTCCAGAGCACTGTACCATTTAACAGATCCATGAGCAATGTCTAAGTGGTCCAGTTTCTCCATATCATCGACAGCAATTGGTACTGCCACTACTTTTTAATTTAGTCATTCTGATAAGCAGGAAACCTAGAAGGAATGGGGCTACTACTCCACCTTAGTGAAACGGTGGTCAAGAGGAAACTTTACTGATATTGATCAGAAAATACAAACCTAATAAAAATCTATTTTTCTGATCATATTCATAATTGAGTTATAATGCTAAAATCTGTAAAGCCTCTTAGCCATATTTCAATATATATTACAAGGTTAAGAGATTAGATATTATAATTCAAGTTTTACAGAAGAAACAGGCTCAGAAGTTAAACAGCTTCATTCAATTCATATTTATAAAACACTTCTATTATAGTAAAGCTTAAGGAAACAAAGAAAACTCCTGTCCTCAAAGAATACATGGTCTGAAAGGCAACATTAATCATGAAAAGAAAAAATTAAATATTATATTAAAGGTATGTTGTGATATAATGGTAACAAAAAAAGTGAATGTTCCACGTTATGTTGATCCAGAAAGGACTCACTGACAAAATATCTGAAAAAAAGCACTTACAAAGGCACAACAACATGAAATAATAATAAACATTTACTAAGCACTTACTTTGAGCCATGAACATCTAGAATTACTAAAACCGTCTAACCTTCAAAGTATAAAATTAAAAGTAAACTATTCAGAATAACTTAAGAATCCATATGACTTAAATGGCTAATAAAACTAAGCTGGTACTTACTTGCAAAAGACATTATCAATCTTTTTCATTATATGCATCTGGAAAAGTAAATTTAAAAAGAGGTAGAATGCTACAGACTGTGTTCCCAAAAATTCACATGTTGAAACCTAATCCCCCAGTGTAATGGTTTTAAGAAGTGAGACCTTCGGGGGTTCCATTCTCATGAATGGGATTACTGCCCTATAAAAGAAACCCCAGCAAGATCCCTGGCCCTTTCTGTCATGTAAGAAGACGCTGTATATGAACCAGGAAGAAAGTCCTTGCCAGACACCAAATGTACCAGACTTCTAGATTCTAAAACTATGAGAAATTAATTTCTGCTGTTATAAACCACTCAGTCTATGTTTTTGTTAGCAGCCCTGAATAGACTAAGACAGGAAGTAAAGTTACCATTATTCTCATGATTATATAATAAATTCATGAAATTCATAAGCCTATAAATTGTAGGCACTTAACTATATAATTTATATAGGTAAAACCACAACCAAGTATTTATTAGTCAGTAAATCATTTTATTTGCTGAAAAGGGATGTCCCTGAAATCAAGTCCCATTCCAGTAAATGTATAGGAAGGATATCAGCCAGACTATAAGAATAGTTACCAGGCATTGTAAACATATCTGGGTACCCACTGCGTGCCAAACATTGTTTTAGTACCTGGTGTCATGGGTTGCACGATGTTTCCTCAAAATTCATTCATATGTTAAAGTTCTAACCTTCAATATCTTAGAATGTGACCTTATTTGGAGAGTCTTTACAGAGTTAATCAAGTTAAAGTGAAGTGTTTATGGTGGGCCCTAATTAGATATGACAGGTATCCTTACAAAAAGGAGAAATTTGAACACAGAAACAGACATTCAGAGAGGGATGAAGACATGAAGAGACACATGGATAAGACAGCCATCTACAAGCCAAAGAAAGAAGCCTGGAGCAGATCCTAAAAGTAACCAATTCTGCCAAAACCTTCATTTTGTACTTCTAGCCTCCAGAATTGTGAGATTATTGTTCAAACCACCCATTTTGTGGTACATTATTATGGCAGCTCTAGCAAACTAATACACCTAGGATATAAAGATGAGCAACAGAGGAGATTCTGCCCTTTAGATACCCATGGTCCAACAGGAAGAATATCAGTTCAATATATAATTTTTAAAATTTAGTAATGCCTCTTAAGGAGCAGGAGATTTCTGACCTCAAAAACAAAACAGATTTTGAAAGAAAAAAATATTGCAGGGTATTTCAGGAAAAGAAATAAACACATTTTCCTTTTAAAAAGTTCTGTCTTTTAAAGAAAATCACTATCTACAAAGGTTGCAGCTCCTTTTAATTTAAAGTTTTTATCTTCTTCTATCTCCCTTGAACCTTCTTCTGGCAAGACCCTTTGCTTACATTCATATGCTCTCTTCTCTCAACCTCTTCACATTTCTATTTCTTTCCCTTTTCAATCTTCTCTAGTTCCCAGTGCCTTAAAAATGAGGAAATCAAGACATGGAGACATGTCTCCATCTTTTTTGCACACTTTGTAAAAGTATGTTCCCTCACTTCTGCTTACCAGCTCCGAGAAAAATATTACTTCCACACCCTAAAATTTCTGTTAACACCTGTCTTTAATTCTTTAGAAGTTACTACTTTAAAATGAACCAGCTCTAAGAAATGCCTTGAATTTCTTTCTCTACAATTTCTATTTGTAAACTTTTGTTAATTAACAATATCTTCTTGTCTTAACAAGCAGCTTATGTTGTAAATAATTATTCACTGATATAATCTCTTTCATCATTTCAGAATGTATTGATCATTCTACAGAACAGAAAGTACCGCAAAATAGGTAAAATACATATTGGCATGGAGAAATCATTAAAAATATCCTTTTGTCATTAAATAAAAGGTAGTAGCTTATTTAGTATTGAATTTCACTATACTTAAAACATCCAGAGAAAGATAGAAGCCATATCTATAAAAAACAAATAAACGCAAAAAAACTTTCCTCCTTATAATACATTATGATAGTTTAGAAATCAGAATTAAGTTAATCTTTGAAAATGACACCATTTGGTATTATTAACGAGAAAAGTTAAATTCTGCGGCTTCATTAGATTATGGCATTACAAAAAGATGTGTGCCAGATTATTCTACAATATAGTGTTTTATGAATATTTTAAAATCTGGGAAATTTTATTTTCATTTACATAAAAATGTTAGTGAAATAATAATATAACTTAAAGTGTTTAATCTCTTATTCACAGAAAGTTTTCTCACTCTGCAGAACTTTGACCAGGCTTTCACATAGTTCTTTTTGCCATCAGACATAATAGCAATTGCTGCTATCAATTTAGTGTAAAAGCCTTTGAACTAGGCATTTTCATTACTTTTTTTAGCTCACAATAATTCAATGAGGCACACATTCTTATGCCCATTTTCCAGATGCAAAACTGAGGCTCGGCATATTTAGCTTGCTTTTCCAAGATCACACAGTTAGGATACAGTCAAGACACCATTGGAAAAATAAGATCCCTAAAGTCTCGAGTCTCCACCCTTCCTACCTACCCTCAGGATAACTGAGTGTGGCAGCAGAGTCAATGGCCTACCCAACCCCTCTTCTTACTTACTAACAAACCCCCTATTTTATCTGAGCGGCAACATATATCTTATCTTTTAAAAATCCTTAATTTCACTGAAGTCTCTTTAGTGGAGGTGATGCTATGTAACAGGTTCTGGCCAGAAACAAAGGGCCTGTAGAAGGAATTCCTCCCAAAGGAAAAGTTCACTTCGAGAAAATCTTCACACTCTACATTATTCCAAAGAACCAGGACTGGAAAATTCAGCTTCCACTTCAGAATCACAAGAACAAACCCCACACTAAAGCTGCAGAACTCAGAACAAGCCTGGCCCCATGGATTTCTTGTTGCAGGAGATATATTCAACCCCTTTTCTTCAAACACTCTAATATAGTTTCATACTATTTGTAATTGAAGCCTTCTCTAACTAATTCATCAAGTAAGAATTTCATTTCCTGAAGTAATACAGTCCTTATATCATAGGTCATAACTTTATTACCCAGATTAGATTTTTTTTAAATTAAATTTGAGAGGTGACATTGATTACAGAAATTATTTAGGTTTCAAGTGTACAATTCAATAATACATCATATGTATATTGGCGTGTTCACCACCCAAAGTTAAATTTCCTTCCGTCACCATATATTTGACCCCCTTTATCCTATATACTTCCCCTGCCTTCCCTTTGGTAACCACTAAACTGTTATCTGTGTCTGACTTTTTGTTTGTCTTGATTTTTCATTGCTTTCAGTTTTATATCCCACATATAAATGAAATTATATGGTTCTTAACTTTTTCTGACTGACTTACTTCGCTTAGCATGATAATCTCCAGTTCCATCCATGTTGTTACAAGTGGCAGTATTTCATCTTTTCTTGTCACTGAGTAATATTCTATTGTATATTAGTTGTACATGCCACATCTTTATCTAATCATCTATCTAAGGGCACTTCAGTTGTTTTCGTGTCTTGGCCACCATGAATAATGCTGCTATGAACATGGGGCTGCATATATCTTTATGGATATTTTCGGGTTTTTTGAGTAAATACCCAGAAGAAGGATTGCTGGGTCATACAGTGATTCTATTTTTAATTTTTTGAGGAACCTCCATACTGTTTTCCATAGTGGCTATACCAATTTACATTCCCACCAGCAGTGTATGAGGATTCCTTGTCCTCTACAACCTCTCCAACACTTGTTATTACTTGTCCTGTTGATGACAGCCATTCTAACAGGTGTGAGGTGGTATCTCACTGTGGTTTTGATTTCCATTTCCCTAATAGCTAGTGAAGTTGAAAATCTTCTCATACGCCTATTGGCTATTTGTATGTCTTCTTGAGAGAAATGTCTGTTCAGGTCCACTGCCCACTTTTTAACTGGATTGTTTTTTGCTGTTTAGTTGTATGAATTCTTTATATGTTTTGGATATTAGCCCCTTATTGAAGGTATTGTTTGCAAATATCTTCTCCCATTCAGTTAGCTGCTTTTTGCTTTATTGATGGCTTCTTTTGCTGTGCAGATTTTTAGTTTGATATAGGCTCATTCATTTATTTTTGGTTTATTTCCCTTGACTTTGAGGTCAAATTCATAAAAACCTCTCTAAATCCAAGGTCCATGAATTTAGTGCCTATATTTCCTTTTATGCAATTTATTGTTTCAGGTCTTATATGTAGGTCTTTGATCCATTTTGAGTTAATTCTGGTGTATGATGACACATAGCAGTCTAGTTTCATGCTTTTGCATGTGGCTTTCCAATTTTCCCAACACTATTTATTGAAGAGTCTTTCTTTTCGCCATTGTATATTTTTGGCTCCTTTGTTGAGAATTACTTGCCCATTTATATGTGGGTTCATTTCTGGGCTCTCAATTCTGTTCCACTGGTCTGCGTGTCTGTTTTTCTGCCAATGCCATGCTGTTTTAATTATTGTAGCTTTGTAGTATAATTTGGAGTCAGGCAAAGTGATATTTCAGCTTTGTTCTTTATTCTCAGGATTGCTTTGGCTATTCAGACTCTTTAGTGATTTCATACAAATCTAATGATTTTTTGTTCTATTTCTTTAAAAAATTTCATTGGGATTTTGATGGGGTTTGCACTAACTCTGTGTATTGCTTTAGGTAATATGGCCATTTAACTATGTTGATTCTTTCAATCCATGAACATGGAATATCTTTCCACTCCTTTATGTCTTCTTCAATTTCTTTTAATAATGTCCTATAGTTTTCCCTGTATAGGTCCTTCACATGCTTTGTTAAGTTTATTCCTAGGTACTTTATTCTTTTTGCTGCAAATGCAAAAGGAATTATTTTTTTCATTTCTAATTCTGAAATTTCATTGTTAGTATATAGGAATGCAATAGATTTTTGTACATTGATTTTGTATCCTGCAACTTTATTGTTTTTATTTATTGTTTCTAATAGTTTTTTGGCCGAGTCTTTAGGGTTTCCTATACAGAGAATCATGGAAGTCCTAACTAGAGCAATCAGGCAAGAAATAAAAGGCATCTAAACTGGAATGAAGAAGTCTAACTGTTACTTTTTCCAAATCAGATTTTTTAAAAACTCTCAAGCTATGAGCCTGAGCTAACCTAAAGGGCTCTGTTGATAACAGTGAACCCAGGAAGGACACACACAAAAATCTAATAATTACCTATAGGAGGAAGGAAAAATGGGGTGGATGGTGACCAAGATGAGTAACAGATTTCTCAAAAAAATACCTTTTTACATTATTTTGATGGTTTCTAATCATGAATATATAGTCTATCCAAACTATGCAAATAATTTTTTTAAAAGCAAATAAATCAAAGAAGGATATATTGCCTTATACCTTTTCTGTCAAGAAATCAACAAAATATTACCTTTCTTGGATCTAGTGATTAATTCAAGGTGCTTTTCTGTAATAGTCTTCTTTTCAGCTGTTAAAGACTGTAGACAGATAATAAAAAATTATGTAGTAATTTATGTGACAAGGACTCGATATCAACAATCTTATAAAATATTCAAAACCTTAAACTACAACTTCCTTAACATATTCCTGTTTTCCTTTATTTATAGTCACCCAAATACATACTCTTCATATACTTATAAATGTATTTTTATATTGTTCTTGAATCTAAAGAGAAAGCTGTCTAACATTTAGTTTATAATAGTATTTCTCTGTATTGAATTTCAAAATTTCCACATATATAAAAATTAAGCAGAATATCTCACTGCCAAAAGATTCTGAATATATAAACTTTCAATAAATACACTTCTTGTAAAGAATATGATTCTTCTCAGACTGTTCTTCAGAGAACATTCTCAGTATATATCTTTCATTTACAAACAAAGAAGTATAAAGGTTCTGCATGGCATAAAGAGGTGAATACTAACTTGCCACAATTATTAAAGAAATTCAAAGATGAGAAAAAAAAGGACCGACTTTCTTTGTGTCCTGAAGGACATTCCAAAGAAATAGAATGGCAGTGGTCTGAATACCCAGTAACATATGATTTATCCTTTGGTATTCAAGGAAAACAATTTTATAATTACTTTACCAGAGTGCCTGAAGTATCCTGAAATCCTTCTTCACACCTGAGCCATGCTTCAGAGAGGGAAGCAGCTGTCCCCACTGTCCTGAGATGTGCTCTTTTAAACTGCAGTGAATTCTCTCCTGGAAAGGATGGGTATCCTGTATCCCAATCTCTTTTTTTCTGTAGAGATCATTTTCAAAGGAAAAAATAAATAAATAAAAATAAACTTCATTAAATATGCACTAAGTTCACAACAATATGGAAACCCAGGAATGGCAATAGTGAAGGCATAGTTTTTTAATATTTCTGAATCCCCAGAAAAAGGAAGAGTAATGAGACAGCAAAACCAACCAAAAGTGTACAGACAACACTTACAACTAGTCAAGGAAGTCCAATTTACAAATGAGTGAGGATAAACAATCAACTCTACAAACTCATGCATGGTATCATATCTCAACAGCAAGAGACTGAGAGAAGCAAAGGAGGACCTGAGCACATAGATATCTGGTGTTCACTAGGAAGTGAAGCAGATGATCTGAAAATGGTTATCTAAAATGGAGTGAGTGATAGCAATGGACTAGTGGTTACCAGAGGGGAGGAGGAGAAATAAATAAAATGTTAAAATAAATAGATAGATAGATAGATAGATAGATAGATGATAAATAGATAGATAAATAAATAAATGTTTAAATAAATAAATAAAATAAAATTTTAAAAAACAAAAAACTAAAAAATAAAATAAAATAGGGTGACGGTATGGGCACCACCCAAGATCAAAATAAGTGAAGGCAGTCTAGGACACTCAAAACTCAGTCAGCCAGAACTACCTTCCCAGACACGGCCTAACACTGAAGCGAGACTATACAGGGAGTGGAATCTTCTCAGTGCCAGGGGATGAAAGAGACAAAACAAAGAAAAGTCCAAATGAAATGGTGGAGGGGAAAAGAGTCATGAAATATCTAAATAACAAATAAACAAGTGGCCGTAGTTTTGCGAACTACAAGGAAACAATAGAAATTATAAAAGCTACCTTGAACACTGCCTCCTAAAAATTCAGAACAACTGTAACATAAAAATAAGCAACAGAAGAGATCAAAGCCAAATTCTATACAAAGTTATTATTAGGGAAAAAAAAGCAGAATAACATCCCAACACACAAAGAAAGCACACCAAAGACATGCCCATAAAATAGAAAAAAAAAAACTGTAACCTACTATAGTCTTTGAATAATGTCATTTGGTTCAATGTCATTTCATCATAATGTTGATGAGAAAATAAAAATTGATTTCTGCCATGACCTCCAGTGCATGTTCTCCCCATGTCTGCGTGGGTTTTCTTGTGGTATTCCAGTTTGCTGACACATCCGAGAGATGTGCATGTGAGGTGACTGGCGTGTCTAAATTGTCACAGTGTGGGTCAGTATGAGTATGTGTGAGTTCATCCTGCAATGGAAGGGTGTCTTGTCCAGGTAGGTTCGTGCTTGGTGCCCTGAGCTTCAAGGATAGATTCTGGCCACACACGACCCTGAACTGGAATAAGCAAGTTGGAAAATTATCACCTTGCTTGTTTTTATTCATTTTTCTTAAATATATGTTTAGCTCATATTTATTTCAATGTTAGAGATGTTTTGGATCTTTATTTAGAAGTTTGGTGATGTTTTTGCAACCAGAAATATATTACTCTTGTTAACCTATGGTAAAACTGGTTTCATTATACATCATTTGCTTCAAGTTGCAGTTTTTAAGAACCTACTGATGATGTAAAGAGGACTTACTGTATTTTGAAATAAGACAAGGCATTCAGATTACCAAAACTCAGAAACAAAATGACAAAACTTAAGAAGTAGAATAAAAAAAAATCATCTCATACTTCTATTACACTAAGTGCAATTTGCATGTTAGAGTGTACTGAATTTGCTTTTTGGCTTAGTGCTTATCTTTGAATATTTGTAATTAGCTAACGATGATTTCGTGTGTTTGGATAGAATATATGTTTGGATAGAATATATGTTGGATAGAAGATATGTTTTTTATGGACCCCTTCAAGCAATCCTAAAGCATAAAAATTTTTTATGGACCCCTTCAAGCAATCCTAAAGAATAAAAATTAATGAAAGCTGAGATACCTCGATATTTAGAAACTTGTTGAGGCTTCTTTATGTTACTTGCTAATTAGTGGTAGAGCTGGATCAAGATTTTAACCCTACTATCTTGTTCAATACTCCTAATAACTAAGAAGGAACCCAAGAAAAAGTAGATATCACAGATAATATTTTAAGAAAAACATAAGGTAATGAGGAAAAAATTTTAAAGTCTATCCTCCCATGAAGATAAAGTAAATGGATTCAAGAGAAGTAGAGCCATCAAGTCTAAGGATCCAACATACAAATAAGAATCCCTGAAGAAGAAAACCAAAGCAATGGAACAGAACACATACTAAAAGCTACAATTCTAAAGACTTTCCTAAAATTAAAAAAAGAAAAGACAGAGAGAGAGAGAAAGAAACTACATATTGGAGTATACCATATATCTGAGAATATCAATCCAGAAGCAATTAAAAAAAGATATATCTTAGTAAATAGAGTTTTAAAAAATATTCTTTGAACCTCGAAGAAAAAAATACAAATGACTGACAAGTAATAAAAATTACATTATCATCAAATGTTGACAGCAATGCTGTATGTCAGAAGAAAATAGAATAATGTGTTTAATATACTCAAAGGAAGAAAATGTGAGTCAAGGAGTTTATATCCTGCAAAAGTGATTAACACTGACTTATTTTCTCCAAGCTTTGTTGTTTTGTTTTTTTTACAAACGTCCACAACAGACATATATTCATTTAACAAGTTTTTAAATTTGCATTTTAAGGACTATTTTAGATTTACATTTGGAATCAAATTAAGGTCAACTACTATGAGTTGATCACCAAATCAGAAATAAAACCCCTCATCAATACCACTGTAGTTAAGAAAAAATAAGACAAATTAAAACATACCATTAAAACTTCCTTAACTAAGAAAAGAACAAATTCATATAAACAAAGTCATCCATAACCTAGGTGGTATTTTAACATATAACAGCTCTATGCATGTTCCCCCTTACATAGAAATCCCTATGATAGGGGCAGAACTGTAAGGCATCTATCCTCAAGAGGTTGTTTACTGTGCAGTTTCCCCTGACAACTCTGAAGAAGCTCACTCAGTTATACAGATCAGTAAAGAAAGTGGAAAACATAATTTGGTTGATTTAAAGCATATATATTTTTTTAACCCCAGAGTACCTCTGTCATGCATTAAATCAGCACAGGTCAGCTCTTTAAAGAAATGTGTGATACCAGAGATGGGGTAGAGACACAGGAGATGAACCTGAAATATCCTGAACCAGAGAGTAAGAGAGTGCTTAAGGAATAATGAGAACGTGTCTAAAGGACACATGAAACTTCACTGACTATCCAGTCCTCTCACCTATCTTTCTTTTTCTAGACAAAACACCTCCCCACCACCACCACCACTGCTTTAGGCACCCAACCTGGCCAAGGTCAATCATAGGACATCAGCCTGGCCACAGTGATTGGTCCAAGGATGACAAAAGGACACAAGCTGAGCCAGTCATAGGCCCTCTCCAAGAGTTTTGTAACTGGAGCTACTAGAGAAGATTCTGTTCTTCCCAACTTGGTCAAGGATGTGACCCCAGGACTCTGAGCAGCCCTGGTGCCCAGCTGCTATGAGCTGCTTGCCTACCAGTCAATCTACTGTGCATTTGTCCAATTTAAGTTAGGCTTCAATCATCAGCTACTGAAAGAGTTGAACTAGAGCACTCAGCAAATATCTGTTCCAAATGAGTGATTCACTCACTGAGTATTCTACAGGTATACAGCTAAAGACAGTTTCCATCTTCAGTGATCTTAGATTCTAAAGATACATATTAAAGAAAGAAGTGAGCCAAGATTGGGCTAATGGGCTCAAAAATAAATATTAATGAGGGAATGTTTCTTGGAGAAAGGTGATTCTGACCCATACAAAAAGAGAAATATATTTTGGCAATGGCTACCATAGATCTTGGATTTTTCAGTACAATCCTACTTCCAGATATCCTGATTTATTACCCTTCAAGAGCATGGACACATCCAGGAAATTTCACAAAGCAGCACAAAATCCTTTCAGACCACATCTTCGGGCTGTGTTACCATGCTGACCTGGTCAAAGCACAGCTGGCCAAGTTATTTACCTTCTCAACATCCAGTTTCTGCATCTATAAAATGGGTAATAAATATACTCACCTGAAAGAAAGTGTGTAATAAATATACTTACCTCAAGACCACCATCAAGATTAAATTGGTGCTAATAACAATAGTATGTAACAATGATACCACAATTTTGGATGTAAAAGAAGAACTAATTAATATTCAAGAGAGTTAAAATGGGAGTGTACTTTAAAATTATACATATTTTATAAAGATGTTTATTTACATTTTCACATTCTGTGATTCATAAAAATATTGTTTTAATCTAATGACCTACTTTAATTATCTCAAATATGAAAAGAAGAAAAAGCTTACTGATTAAAATTCTGTCTTCTCAGAGTTTAAGAAACAGAAGGGAATTAAATGAAAAACTAAGTGGAAAAGGCGAGTTTATTTCAGAGTCAAAGTCACTATTCCATGAGCTGCAGCCCCTCGTAACTAATGCCACTTGCCTTCTCAGCTTTCTCTGAGGCTAGTCAGGCAACTGTAGGGCTCCAATGACAATTAAGAAAGCACCACCCTTCTGATGTGGGGATAGTAGAGTGAATAAATAAAAAATAAAGGGTATTAGAACAAATCTGAGAAGGAAGAATATAAATAAATTAAATTTTCACATGGCATAATGAAATTTCTGAAAACTGCCCGTAAGGTTCATGACTACTTTGCTCATATCTTATTTTCTGCCAGGCTGCCTTTTAACTCTCTTCAATATGATCCAATGAACCCCTCAGGATTCAGTTCAAGGATTATCTTCTTCATGAACCCTTCTGTACTATTAACAGTCATCGGTTATGCTCCCTGAACCATTCTTTTGGAAATTAGTCACATACTACCTTACGAAGTTACTTCTACTGTTACCATACAGAATGATATATTTGTGTGTTTATGTCTTCTATCCCTCTAAAACCAAGACTTCATTTATAACTTATTTTCTACATG